TTCTTCTGAGAGACCTCTGGATGAATTCACACCACTAACTGTTAATTAACTTAACAGCCAAGCATGGAGCCCTCTGCACTACACAGGGATGTCAAATATCTAAGACCCTCTGGCAGCTGACACCTGAGTATACCACAGGCATCTCAAGCTTGGGTATTTAAGAAATGAAATTTTGCTGCCTTGTGCAGTAGTTTTTTATCTTGCATTCCTGATCTCAGTTGGCTCTCATGTACTGAGCTCCCAGCTAAAACCTCAGGAATAGCCTTTGGCTCTCTTTTTCCTCTGTGTCCGTTTAGAATCTGTCACCCTGCACTCTTCAGTTTTGCCCTCTCTCTGCCAGCCATCTCCAGCCAGTTCTTCTTCAGGTCCTCATTATTCCTTTCTGAGAAAAGTACAAAAATTTTCTGACTGCTCCTCCTTCTTCAATCTGGTGCTCATCTAGGCTGTCCTCCTCCCTGCTATCAAGCGGATTTTCTTAAGACACAAACCGGACTGCATTGTTTCCAGGATGGCATCCCCCAGTGGCTCCCTGCATCCTCAGCCCCCATTCTGACACAAAGTCATCACTGTGTAAAAGGAAACTTAACTATTGTGTTCACTGTCTTATGCCAACGCATGAATAGTGCCTGGCGCAGAAGTAGCCAACAAGTATTTGTTGAACAAATATATAACTCTTGCATGGAACAGTGCATTTCATCACAAGCTTCATGAACTCTCTTGAGGAAGAATTCTGTCTTCTTGGCCCTTCTATTGACATTTAAGGAGAATGGGGAGGAACGTTGCCATATTTATTCCAATTCACGTCAAATCTGTGTGTTACGGAGTAAAACTGCTTCTGTGGGTTTTCTTGGTCCAGATCTTTATGACTCAGTATCACCAGGTTTTTCTTCCATCGCACTTCTTGATGGCTTGAACTGCCATCTTTTATGTTAGTAGTCAAATGCAGAGGAGTTCTGGTGGCCTAGTGGCAGGAAGCTGTGCTGCAATCCCAATTCAAGGCCACCAGCTGCTCCATGGGAGAAGGATGGGCAGTCTCCTCCTGTGCAACTAACTGCCTCTGAAAATCTGCCAGAGGGTCAGCTACGGGTCAGTTCTAGCGCTATAGTACACACAACAACAGTCAAATGCAAGCTAGTTATCCACTCGGGCCGTGTTCTACTGACATAGTGCCTGGCATATGAATAGGCGTGAGATCAATGTCTTTGAACGCTTCATAAGTGAACGATCAGATGAATGAAAACTATGCAACGAATGAGGATGAAAGAAGAGTTGTTGATGCCTTTGAGTTAGGATGTTAAAAAGAGTTCCGGGTATCCCATGAATTGCCAAAAGGAAAAGACTGTCTTAAAGGAAGTACAACCAAGCTGCTCCTTGGAGGCAGGGAAAGTAAAACCTCATCTCACGTACTCTGGGCATGTTGTCAGAAGGAGCTGGTCCTTAGACAATGTCATCATGCTGGAAAAGGTACAGATCAGAGAAAGAAAGAAAGCCCTTCAACAAGATGGACTGACACAGCGACTATAATCATGGGCTTGAGCCTGACAGAGGTCAGGAGGATGGTGCAGACAGGACAGAGCTCAGATCTGTTGTTTGCAAAGCTGCCGTGAGTTGTAGTTGACTCAGTGGCACCTAACACCAACAGCCGCATCTAGGCTAGAGATTCTTAACTGTGGCTGTACATTCAAACTATGTGAGGAGCTTTGGGAAATGTCAGTGCCTGGAATCAGTTGCACTAGAATGTCTGTGAGTAGCTCTGGCCATGACAGTGATTAAAGTTCCCCAGACAATTGCAAGCGTGATGGAAAGGTGGAAAGGTGTTTGGAAAGGTCAGCGAAAGAGAGGCAGACCCCCAACCAGGTAGACTGACACGGTGACCACTGCAGTGGGCTCTAATGTGTCAGGGAGTGTGAGGATGGCACAGGATAGCACAGGGTTCAGATCCGTTGCTCACAGGGTCACTGTGGGCTAGACTCAACTTGATAGCACCTAACAACAACAGATAATTCTAATGTGCAGACACTGTTGAGAGAAGGTGACCAGCCAATCAAAAGTGCTCAGGCTAAGGACTTAAAGAGGCAGGAGTCCACTGTCCCAGACAAACCAGGGAGGGGGTAACTGGTCACCCTGCCAAGACCTGACTGACACTTGGCCTACTCTTCGGGGATGTGTTTTCAGTTTTTGAAAGGGAAGTCTCCTGAGCTTCTCGCTGTCCTCCAATACTCATCCAATTGTACCAGATTTGTGCTGCTGTTATCGACTAGGGAAGCTAGCATGCAAATGGAAAAAGGGATCATTAAACTCTTAGAGCAGGTCAGCAAAGACTGACTGTGGTGCTGAAGAAACAAAAGAAATCACCATGCGTTCCCTTTCCACATACAATCCCGAGGAGCCTTCACTTTCTTTTCCCCTCCAATTGCGGGCATCTCTTTTTGACATCACTCCTATTTGACTCTTCTCTGTGTCAGTGACCCTGGGAGAAGTCTGTGGTCCCTGGTGTTTGTTATCTACGGAGATAAGGGCAAATGTTCTCAATGGAAAGCTCCCCTTAATGGAAAGTGAATTAATATCTGGAATCCGTAACACTCATCAACCTACTGTCAGCGCATGTGTGTTTTGCACTAACCTCCTCCCCCACACACCCAGGGTGTGTGTCCAGCTCAATCAGAGATGTGCCTAGTGGCCAGCTCCTGAGGGCCTGGCTACTCTAAATGTGGTCCTCAGAGCCACACCATAAGCATCATCCAGACTCCTGTTAAAAATGAGGAAACTCACACCCCTCTCCAGACCTACCCAACCCAACCCCCAACCCCTGACTTGATTCTGACTCACACTGACTCTCCATTGTCTGCCTCATCTTTATCCAATAGGTTGATTAGAGTATTTAAACTGCCTACCTTCTAGTTAGCAACCCAATATATATAACCACTACACCAAATCAGAAGCTCCAGAGGTGAGGCCCAGGAATCGGTCGGAGTTTTTTTAGGTGCACAACACTGGTTTATTTAGTGTATATTTCTGGTAACTGAATAGCTGAATCAAATGACACTTCTTCTCTTTTTTAAGATTTTTTTTTTAAATTTATAATTTTTTGGGTTTTTTTTTCCATTCACATTGTGTTTCTTATGATCATTCCCATACACTGTGTCTTATAAAATTAATGGAATCTGTATTTTAAAAAATTATCTCCAATTTCTTCTTCATGCTTAAATTTCAAAGTGTTCTCAGAAATATCTTGTTTGCCGAAATCCCAAGGCCAGTATCTAAAAGCCTGGAGGCAACAAGTTAGGCAGGGCAGGAGGTAAACGGGACATTGGCTACAAAACCTGGGGATATTATTGCAATCTAGTCTGCCCCTTGCAGGCAGCCTATCCATCTATTGGAACCCACCAGGGGCTCCGTGGGAGATAGGAAATCTCTCCCTGTGTGTTTACAACATCTGAAACCCAGTGGACTCCACAGCAATGAATTTTTTTGTTTTTGTTTTTGTTTTCTATTTTATACTGACTTATTTACAAAGTTCAAATACACTACTTTTCACACAAGATCCTTCCCATTTCCTTCAAACACCCCCACCCACTGAATTATGCAACTCTATGGTTAACAACCCTCCCCATTCTGATTCCCCATCCTCAGCTCCCATCCTCACCCCCTGTCCCCCTCCCTACCATCCTCTCCACGCCCTCCTCAACCCCTGTCCATACTCAATCCTCTGCTTCCAACCTCCATTCCCCTGCCCCTTGGATCCTCATATTTACTCTATAATAAATGGTTTTATACAGCATTTGTCCTTGAGGGACTGAGTTAACTCAGCATAATGCTCTCCAGTCTGTCCCAAATTAGGTAGTAATTTATAAACTCTATTGCTCCTGGGTGCTGCATAGTATTCCGTTGTATGGATGTACCACAACTTTTCAATTCATCCTTTTGTGATTAGACATCTGTGAATTTTTGCATTTTGGATTACTAAGAGAATCTATACAGGGTATAAACTTACTTCAATTCGGATCTGTCCCATTTGACCTTCAGCTGATAATTCATATTCATCCTGAATCAGGAGCTTCCTTTTAGAAGATCATCTTAGCTTTTATTCAGCAGATCCATGGAGCTGGCCCACTAGCTGATGAGGTCCCCACCTCCACCATGCAAGGCAAAATTCTCTCTATGCCTTGGGGAGCTCTGGTAGTGTAGTCCTAGGGAGTCTGCACTGCTCACCCAAAAGGAATGACTCTTGAGGTTCTAATCTACCAGCAACTGTGCTACAGAAAGGTAAAGTCTTCCCTCAAGCAATTCACAACCTCTGAAAAAACGCTGGAGGGTCTGCTCTGGTCAGTTCCCACTCATTGGCAATTAGAGAGGGAGGACTTTGACTTTGAAATCAGTGTGACTGGCCAACAGGTTGTCTGAGGCCAGGCGGCATATGTGTCAGAGAAGACCTCAGCTCTTCAGGGTCTCAGTAACTGAGTTTTAGGAAGTCAATTTTTAGGCATTCTGCATCAGCACAGCTCCACTCTGTTGGTATTGCTTCACCTGGAAGCTACTCTTATGAACTAGGTCTTCTCAAACTCCAACATGCCCCAGAAATACCCGGACATTTCTGACTCAGTAGCGCTGAGTTGGGACCTGAGACTACGTTTGTAGCAAGTGCCAACTGAAGCAGATGCTGACCTGCCTGGAGACACACTCTGCACAGCCAGACTGGAGGCCAGTGGTCTCAGTAGGACAATGTTCTCTGGGATGCATTTCGTAGCATTTAAGACATTTTTGGGTGATCAAGATTGGGAGGTGGGAGATGCTACTGGGGTAGCTGCTAAAAATTATACTACTCATAAAATAATACCCTTGCCACACAGACCCAGGAAAAAATATCCTGCCCCAAATGTCAATTTCCTACAGTAAAACGTCATCATCAAGTTTGGGGAGAAAGGATGGATGGGGAGTGTCAGAGCGGATCCTCTTCGCAAACTAAGCATTGTTTTCTCTCTTTTCTTGTGTGCACGCAGGAGCCAATGCCTCCGCCCCAGACCAACTGAGTTTGGCTTTAGCCTGGAACAGAGTCGACATCGCTCGCAGCCAGATCTTTATTTATGGGCAACAGTGGCCGGTAGAGTATGCGTCGTCCCCTTTGAAAAGCCTGCCTGCCTGGGCGAGTGTATTTATTTGAGATTTTGAGAGAGGTTCCTGGAAACCACAGCCTTAGCACGGTCAAGCCTGGACTCTCTGTGTCATAGGCAAATGCTGCCACCTAGTGGAAGCTACGACTAAACACAGCTCCAAGCATTTCCAGCATTGGGCTTTAATTAATGAATGTTCAGCTGCAAATCAGGTCATTAATGTTAAGAAAAAAATTTAAGAAAAAGGTTGCCTTCGATGAAGTGAAGGATGAGTGGCGTTATCATTTGTTTCTGGTGGTCTGTTACGGGACAAAAGGAAGAGGTGGCTGCTTCCACCCAGCGCTGCCCCTGCTGGCTAATGGCGGGGTCACCGGGGGGGGGGGGGCAGCTGAGCTGGCATCAGCAGACAGGTGCCATCTGGTCCTGGAGGATGAGCACAGGTCCTTCCTATTCGCTGAGAACAGCACGGAGCGAACCGAAGCTTTATATAACTGTTCTTGGTTTGTTTCCCCCAGTTGACTACCAAAAATTAAAATGGAGAACTGCCCTTAAGGGGTGTTTGCACGGACCTCCAAGCGGCCTGCGATTCCATTTCAGCTTCTGGAATCAGTGAAGGGTCCCACTAGCCAAGGGCAGGTCTTTGTGAACCTCTCCTTTCCCCTCCGTGGCCCGAGTGGTCTAGTCCTTAGGGAGTTCCGCTGCAAATCCTAAACTGAGACTATCTGGTGGTTTGAATCTACCAGCTACTCATTTCTTTAAACAGACTGAAAGATAGTCAGTCTCCTCTCATGTGATTTATAACCTCAGAAAAGCCGTCGAATGGGTGAGCTATGAATTGGTTCTGATCCTATGGCAATAAGAATTTAGGTTTGGAAGGGGGGTTGGGGGGGACCAGTTGTTGGCTGGCTCGCTCTCTCTCTCTATCTCTCTCTCTTTCTTCTCTCTCTCTCTTCCCTGGGATTGGGCGTTTGTATTCATTTAGTGCCAGCACACTGCTAATTTGCAAAGAAGTCACTGATAATCAATGGAGATAAGAAATAAATGAAAACACCAGCCACTAGCAAGTTCAGAGCTAAAGTGTGATTTTTTTTCCAGTCGAATGACACCACCTTACCTCTGCCTTGCCCAGTTCTACATGGAGACCCAGCTTCTCTGCTCCCTTGAAATTCGGTTTGTTTTCCCTGCGGCAGCCTTAGTGGGCTCAGCCTAAAAGAGACGAAATGAGGAGAGCAAATATCCACTTTGGCACCTCTTTGTGTCGCAGGAGTTTGATTAAAGAACTACCTTTAATCTTCGCCCCATTTCAGAAGTCAGAGCCCAGAGTCAGGGATACACAGATTTGGAACTAGAAGTTTTTCACTTCCGTTTGTGAAGACTGAGCTCAAATCCTCGATCTGGCTGTCCGCAAAGCGGAGCTGGGTCCTTAACAGTCTTGCTAGCATGTTCCTAGCAGCGCTGAAGGTTTACCAGATGGCAGAGGCATCCATGTCTAAAGCTGTTCAAAGAAATATCACAGTGCTGTCTCTGCCTCCTGGAGCAGACTAATTCAGTGATTTGATTTGCAGGTGGGGTCTCTGGAGCAAGCCATGCTGGATGCCCTAGTGCTGGATAGAGTGGACTTTGTGAAATTACTCATAGAGAATGGAGTAAGCATGCACCGTTTTCTCACCATCTCCCGACTAGAGGAACTGTACAATACGGTAGGGCCAAGCTAAGGCGCTTTTTATTTTCTCCATTTTTTTTCTTGTACCTTTTCCTGACTCCTACATGCCTGTGATCCTTCACCCACCTGCATGGATCCTTCCACACAAATATTCCCAAAGACCTGTATATCCAACACACGCCCAGTCGGGGTTCCACTTGTTTTAACTGCTCAGTTGTTTACATCGGAGGCAAAAAAAAAAAAGTCCCATAATCACCTAAGGGAAATGTTCGCAGATTCTGACACAAAGCTATTTTATTCGGCAAACCCAGAAGGCTTGGAAGCAATCAGCACAGGCGGACTGATCGACCTCTGAGCATCAAAGCTGGTTAAGAATTTGTTTCCCTCAAAGCCCTGCAGTTCATCTCTTTTCCACTGTGAGGGAATAAACTGTGACGCAATCTCCTATTTGGAGCCACTCAGAGATTTGTTTTGGTTTTATTTATTGCACAATGATTAATTCATCCACAAGGGATACTAGACACTGATAAGAAACCTTTTTTGTGACTTTTTTCCAGAGCGTTCAACAAGCTAAGGTCTGAAACTAATCCTCCCTAAAAGCAAATGAAGAGGAAAGATTATTTCCTTCCATTTCACAGATGAGGGAACTGAGGCCGAGAAGTGAATTGGCTTATTTAAGGTTATTAAACTCCTAAATGGAGAAAAGAGGAACTACCACAACCCAGCTCTGTCTCAGAGATTATGCGCCCCCTCATTTGTCTCTGTTTCTCTGACCCATCGCACTAATGGAAGGGGGCGGTTGGCCTGTCCCCAGCCGGTGGCAGAGCAAAAGGGCAGCCTTGGAGACCAGAGTTTTCCCTCCATTCCGTCTCCCAGCGGGATGTTGTAAATAGCTTAGTAGAGTGACTTCAAGTTTCTGTTTATTCCACAGATATTTTTTTGCCTCAGCACACTAAAATTTTGAGTTAAGAATAATGACATTTTCAGGAGGGAAATACATAGTTAAATGGTGAATGTTTACATATCGATCAAGAGAATAGAGTGATTTTATTTTAATGATTAAAAACAAAGATAAATAGGAAAGTTTTAGATATAAAAACAGAGAGAAGTAGGAAAGTTTTAGATTTAAAAAAAAAAGGGCCAATAGATTTCATTACTTCAATAAACAGATAGTGTTTTTTGTGGACTATTCCAGAATGGAATACTTCGAGAGTATTATTGGAAGGATGGTGAGAGTGTCATTGGCCATCGCAGCAATAATCAGAGCTCAAGTTCGTTGAGTGATACGGTCTGTTTTAATTGATCTATGTTTTTTCATTTGCACACTAGTGAATTTCCTATCAAATCTATGGCATTATCATGCCCATTTTTGAGATGGTAAGACTGAGTCACAGTTAAGCAACTTTCCCACAGTCAGAATCAGTGAAGAGCAGAGGCAGATTTAGAACCCATCAGACACTCTCAGGAGTGTGTACGCTTAATCACTACACAGTACTGCATCCCATGGTTCTGATGGCCTGGAATGAGCAAGTACTTGTGACAGTAATCAGAGATTGTCTCAACACTTGTATGTGTGACAACACTGATAAGAGTTTGCCACCACTGTCTTAGATCCTCCAATGGGGTTGCCAGATGTAGTAACTGTCAATAGATAAATCCGAATTTCATATAAACAAATAATATTTAACTGTAAATCTCTATTTGAAATAATTCCTGAGATGCACTTGTATTTAAAATGCATTCCTCTTTTATGTGACGTTCAGACTTAGCTAAGCACCTTCTATTTCACGGAGGAAGCCTCTCGCTGATGGGGGTTGACCCAGTGGCCTCAGCAGATTCTCAAAAGCAGCATGAGTCATGTGTGCAATGGCACAAGTTAGGCCAAGTCCATCCTCTGAGATTGAACCAACACAAGAGTTTCTAAAATAACCTGTTATATCTGGTGACCTTAGTTTTAAAAGATAAACAGAAACTCGTTTCACTTTTTATTTATTCTTTCAAGCAAGCATGCAGCTTGTTTCCAAACCCACCTTTCCCCCAAATAGCCTGTGACCTTATTTGAAACCTGAATTCAGAAAATTACCACCGGGGGCCAAATCCAGCCCATTGTCCATCCAGGTATAGGCTGCTAATTAAGAAGAAATTAAAAAAATATATATATAAAAACAAACAAACCAAAAATAAAACTATATAGAATTCAAAATTCTTTATCATTAAATAAAGTTTTCTTGAACCGTAAGAACCAAACACACTGCCAGTCAGTCGATCTGATACAACCAAATTAATTGTGTAACATACATTGAAGGCGGCTTTCACATCACAACCGTTGACTAGTTGTAGCAGAGGCCCATTTACCTCACACCCCCCAAAATATTTACCACCTACCCTGTTATGGAAAAAGTTAGTCAATCCCTCCCTGCTTTACATGAGTTCCTGTTCATTGTGAGTTAAAAGCAAGTTGCAATGGTAGTGTGGCCACATGCACTTCTAAGAAGATACACGAGCACACTTTTGTCTCCCCTGCTGCACAGCTAACTCCTTAGACAACGTTCTGGCTCAGCTGTCCACCGTGTTGATGGGCTCGCCTACAAAGGTTAAACCTGGAAGCCCAAATGCTTTCTCTGTGGAGTATACTCCCCTAATCCGCCAGTGTGTTTGCTTCAAAGAAAGAGGTACAACTGAGCAACTAGAACAAGGTCCATCTCTTCAACACACTGCCCCTCTGCCAATCAGATCCTTTCCTTCCAGAACCTTCCTGCCTTGTCAACTAGAGCCCCTACTAGCAAAACCCTTTTATTCTTCTTTATTGCTTTCAGAGACATGGGCCTTCAAATACATTGTACCACTTGGTCAGGGATGTCAAAAAGGTAAGAACCCTCTTGACTGCAGGTCAGAGGCCCTGTCTTGACTGCTTCCTGTGGTTAGAAACCGCCTCTGTTTTGCATGAGCAGCCAGCGCGTTCGTCTCCCGGCCAGACCTCTCATCTCAGAATAACCCAGCGTCCTCTGTGTGTATGCGTGTGTGCGCGTGTGTGTGACTCTTAACGCTGACACCTCTGCTTATGACGCAGCTGTGGTTTTATTGCCGGTCTCCATGATTTTAGATGCTTTCACTGGTAATAATGCTTTGAATGGTAGAACACTAGCTTTTGCCCATGCCATGTGGATTTATGTCATTACTTAAATCTAACCATATTACCCATCACTGTTTGGAAAGCCAGTGCCCAAACTCTGTCATTTGTCCTAAGGGACGTTTTCCTTTGGTAGATCCTGATGTAATCTATCACTTTCAGTCTTAGAGAACAGAGTCAAGTAAGCATTGTGCCAATAGCCTCAGTGAAAGAAAATTAAACATGGGCTTGAGCGTACCAGAGTTGGTGAGGATGGCACAGGATACAGCAAGTATCAGATCTCCTGTTTATCCGGTCACAATGAGTCCCAGTCAACTCTATGACACATACCAACAACAGACAATGGCCAAAGACTGATTTTTCCCCCTAGATATTTTTTTTCACAGTCAACATGCTGGTTGGAAGAAAACCTTTCAGTAGAATAATTCGCATTTTACAGATGAGAGTGTAGAAACATACGGGGTTAGAACTGGTTAGTGAAGAGCTAGAATTCATGCTCTGATCACTGGATTAATAGTAGTAACAGGTATTTCTTTCAGATTGAATCAGCTTTGGAGGGTTAATGAGGATACGAAGGGAAGGAGAAGGGAGAAAAAGCTAATAAATAAATGTATTAGATGAAGGAAGAGGCAATACACAATAAGGGACTGACTGATTGAGTGAGTGATAATTACTTAATTAAAATAATAAAAAACAATAATAGCTAATATTTAACTATTACTAGGTACCTAGAACACATTGAAGCTTGCTACGCATCCTAACCCAATTAATCTTGAAAACAAATCACTCAAGTAGTTCTTATTATTAGTCTCATTTTAGATGAGAAAAATGAGCCACAGAAAGTTAAGTTTCGTTTTAACCAAGTGCTCTTCGTGAGCCCCTTACAGTCTGCCACAGAAGGAGCTTGGCTTCTGACCTCTTTGATATTCTCAGAAAGTGGTGCATAGAATAGATAGTGGCACATCACCACCCTATACACACACCTACACATATGATCCCATCCATGACTGCATACACATATGCATGTTGTTGTGTACCATTGAGTTGGAACCAACTGACTTTCTGGCAGGCTCTCAGAGGCAATTAATCGCAAAGGAGAGATCACCCATCTTTCCCCCTCAGAGCGGCTGGTGGTCTTGAACTGTGTGCCTTCAGGATTACAGCACAGCTTCTTGCCACTAGGCCACCAGACATATGCACATATGTTGTTGTTATTGTTGTTATGTGCCATCAAGTCACTTGTGACTCATAGCGACCCTATATACAACAGCTCTAAACCCTTCTCTGTCCTGTGCCAATCGCACTGACTCCGATACACCCATCCCGATTACCCCAGTCACTGACTCAATCCACCTCATAGAGGGCCTTCCCCTCCTGCACTGTCCCTCCTCCCTACCAAGCATGATGTCCCTCTCCAAGGACCAGACTCTCCTTACAACATGTTCAAAGTATGTTAGACGGAGCCTCAGAATCCTTGCCTCCAGGGAGCCACCCACATATATGTATACATATACAAAACCAGGCTGCTCCTTGGAGGCAAGGATTCTGAAGCTTCATCTGACATACTTTGGACATGTTGCAAGGAGAGACTGGTCCTTGGAGAAGGACATCATGCTTGGGAGAGTGGAGGGACAGCACAGGAGGGGAAGACCCTCGATGAGATGGATTGATTTGATAACTGAGGTAAAAGGGGTAGGTGTGTCAGAGACAATAAGATTGGCACAGGACAGAGCAGGGTTTAGGGCTGTTGTACATAGTGTCACTATAAGTTGAAAACGATTCAACAGCACATAACAACAACAACAATGCATTTACATATACACACTATCACTCCTTTGTAGCAATTCATGAACAAAATTCACAACACATGCTCCAAGGGAGCTACACAGTGAGGTCAAAAAGCCCCAGTTCTTCATTCCACAGGAAACCATTGGCTAAAGCTGACCTTTAATGTCTGTTAGATTACTTTGCATTTTTTTCCTTTGAAAGTCCAAGCAAAGATACTATGGTTGCCTACCATGTACCTATTAACTTGCTAGACTTTCACAAGTAACACCTAAATGATTTAAAAGAAAACACACAACTTCTTCTGTTGGACCTTGAACACGTTCCTCTATCTGCACACAACCTTAACAGGAGAGTTTTCCTCTGTCTGAGTTGAGTAAACCTCTAGTTCTTCTCAAGCACAGGAAGCACGTCGTGGATCTGCACACCCAACTCAACAACCTTCTCATCAAGATCCCTGCTCTTCCTGGTTCCCCATCTTAAGCCTCAAGTAGGATAGCTGCCCTCAGCAACGCCTGTTTGTTTGTTTTTTCCATTAGTCTTGTAGTTCTAAAATGTTTTTACTTTTTCTAAAATACTATTATTCTTCTCATCTTAAGCTAGTTGGTGTCACTAAATTGTGAAGTTTCCTGAAGGGGTAGAGATACCTCTGGCCAATCCACACATTCAAATGAAGCTACTTGCATTTGCCTGAATCATTTGTAACGAAATTATGTAAAGCGTTATTTAGGATTTTTATTTTGTGGGTAGAGTTCTTTCTAGTTGAATTACATACCTTAAAAGTAATGTAGACTAGGAAGAAAGAAAATAATACCAATGTATTAATGACAGTGTGATCCAAATATTGCCACTAGGAGATAAATATTTAGATATTTATTATATACTAACTTAATAGGGTCATTATGAGTCACAAGCAACTTGACAGCACATTACTACAACAACAGCAGCAACAATTTAATAATTGGGGAAAATGATAGCTTGTTACTGAGAATAGTAGACTGGCCTGGAAATAATTGGTCCTTCTCTCTGGAAAGAAGAACACTGGGGAGAGATAGAAAGCTTATATTTAGATAATTTCTGCTCTTTGGAAGAAATTGAAGCAAGAAATATATATAGACTTTATTTATTTGTAGAAAACTAGAAGTGAGAATTTGAGTATTGCGGAGAAAGACGGGATATAGTAGTCATGAGAGGAGCAGAAAAGTGGCTGTGTGTGTGAACGGAGTAAAAAAGTCAAAATCATTGATGTGAAGTCAGAACTAACTCAGAGCTGACGCTCCCGCAGGACCTCAGAGGTTGTGAATCACACAGGAAGAGATTGTCTATCTTTCTCCCACGAAGCAGCTGCGGTACTAGAACCACCTGCCTTTGGGTTGGCAACACAACTCTTTAGCCTTCAGGCCACCAGAACTGAAAATGAGGCTTTAGTTCTTTATTTTGTTTTGTGTTTCTGTAAAGAGTGAGGGAGAGAGAAACTGACCTTGGGACAAAACTCCACCAAGGACTCCAGATGACTAATAGCAGTAAAATGTAAACTGGGAGTGAAGTGCCTAGAAAATCTTGAACAGTCAACTCTATTTTCAAAATTAAGCAGCACAGTCCTTAGCATATTCTTTGTGCTGTACAATGACAGGGCTTTCCTATGTATTGATGTCTCTGATCTGTGACACAAACCAGTCAGTACGTGGGAATTCCTGATGTCTAATGCTATCTGTAAGTTAAGAACTCACCTTTGGTCTTAGGACATCTTTAGTATATGTCAGTAGGTCCGTGAGATTAAATCTGAATAACTTTTAATGATCCAAACAAGGGATTTAGCCATCATCGGACCATTCATTTCAAGTCAGCTTCCAGGTTCAGCTAGCCTTTGTCACCAGGAGAACTAAGCATGGAGAACTGCTCCCAGGTTGATTTCAAAATCTCAAACTGTTGGTATCAGGAGAGCAGCTTGAGGAGCAGTGAGGCAAAAGCATTGCTATTCAGCATCAGTCGGAAGTTTAAAGGGATAGAGCCTCCTCCATTCCCTGTGCCATGCCCGTGCATAAATCCATCGACCGCCCCATGCTCTCACATTAAGCCAGAGCGGCCAGTCTGTCTGCTTTTCTGTGAAATATAACCTGCCATCTTAGTAGCTGGCTGCTGCTCAATTTGTGCCTCTGTATGTTTTGAAGTAGTTTTCTTTCTTTCTTTCTTTCTTTCTTAAACTAAATGTACTAATACTTCAGATTACCTGTACTGTGGCTCCCCATCAAAGGAGGGTGACTTAAGAGGATTATGTTGAAGGAGTGGGGAAAGGATGGCCCTTTAAAAGGTCATTTATTAGAAAACCAAGACCCAAAGCTTTGCAAAATACAGAAAAGGGGAAAGAAAATCCTTTCCGGGTGGTCGAGTAAGGACACCTCCATTAATCTCCTATGTTTAATGTACAAACTTGTAAAAGCATTCTTGTTTCTTTTGCCCTGCCTAAAAATGTGCGGAACTAACAAATACTCAGTCAGATCCTCCTTTCCGGAGAACTTTCACTAAATAAAGCCCTAAGCTGATGACTTATCAATGTCAACTGCAGACTTCCTTCTCCACTGACCCAGGAGAGTCTCTTCTCGCTCTCTTGGTGAGCCTGGCTACCTGCATTATTTTCCATTTTAAGTACCATCCGAGGGAAACCTCTTGCTTGGAACACTTGCTACAAATTTCCTAGGAAAAAAAGAAAAAAAAATGACTCCCAAACGGTTGGATGCTGATCGTGATAGCCTCCGCTGATACTTAAAAAACAGAGCTCATTCTGAGCTCAGGACCTCATGAGAGAATTTAAATGTTCTCTTAATGAAGAGGCATCTTTAGAATGTGTAAATGTTCAGGATTAAAATGTAACTATTCACTAGCGTGAATGAGGAGACAGCTTTTCAACTGTCAGACTGTACCCACCCCTAAGCCTCTCCTCTCCTTCTCACT